TTGTTGTCACCCAAGCGCGCTTTGGTCACGTGGTTGATTACGTTACTGTTGATCATCTGTCCATCATCGTATAAAGCCCGCCCTGGCAGAGCTCAGTCTTAGAACTCAGTAATTTCCTCCAAAACTGACAATGATTGTTTTTTACTGTCGGCTACTTTAGATCGCCAATAAAATGTGAAATAATAGCAAATATAGGATTAGATTAAATCCTTAAGAAACGGGTGCAATACAGTTTGTTCGAGTGGAGTTGCCATACACTGAGGTCATAAGAAGGGGCGGGGCCCCGAGCAGATCTGACCCTTTCAAGCTACATTTGTTTATAGGAGCAGCCGGCATGGAGCATTAATATGTATGGAGTGAATTTTGTTCCATTATTGTTGCAAGCGAAAAAAAAAAACATGTTTTGTAGACAAACAAAATAAAAATCAATTCATGAAACTGAAAAACTTCCAAAAAATTTGCTGTTTCCTCAGATTTTTTTTCTAATTATTTTCTTTCTCTTTTTTTTTTATTTATAGTTTTTTTTATAGATTCTATTTGCTTCTAGAATTGCTTTCTCTTTTAATTGTGTTTCATTCTCTTAATGTTTGAGGACAGGCTTTTCTCTGGAGTGACAAACAGATGCAATCTGGTCAATGTGGGTGTAAAAAAATATTATCCTAAATATTTGTCATAATTGCTGATGAAGGTTCTCAGTCATCCAGGTCATAGTCATTCCGTAAAAATTCAAAAAATATCCACTGGACTTGGTTTTCAAGATTTGAAGACCTCTCCAGGAAGCTTTCTCAATTCAAATGTCTGGATCCGCATATAAGACTCAAACTCACTGCGGATCCAGACATTTGAATTGAGAAAGCTTCCTGGAGAGGTCTTCAAATCTTGAAAACCAAGTCCAGTGGATATTTTTTGAATTTTTACGGAATTTGTCATAATTCTAAACATTTGGTTTTGGTAGAACCGGTCATCACTCTATAGCTGCTAAATGTATCCACCGTAATGCCTTCAGAAACATTAAAACCAGTTGAATAATGGTTATTGTTCTCTTTATTGTAGTTTGGCCAAAAGTAACCCCCCGTCCCTCGGGAGTATAATGATCCTTAAATAGGCCAAACTAAGAAAAACCACAAACAGGCCATAAAACAGTGTGAAGAGCTGGATTTTCTTTTCAGGGGGGTGGGGGGGGTTCTGCTCTGCAAAGCAGTGAAAGTAAACCTCTTGGCTACAACTAAAAAAAGCTTTTGTAAATAAAACGTTAAGTTTCACTGGTTCTCCTTAAAAATAAAAATAAAAAGCAACATGACCGAGCTGCGTTTGGAGACCTCACCTTCTCCAACTTTGATGTGGATGTCTTGTGTGATCCTGAGTTCGGTGAAAGAGGTGACGGCCCCGTATTTCCTCCTAGCCCAGCGGAGGAGGTGCTCGTTGCCTTCAGGGAGGCTCTCCTGGATCTCTGTGTCGAAGGAGAAGTTTGCCTGCTTAGAGCGAACCTCTGAGCCCCGTGGTACCTGGAGGAGGAAAAGATGGAAGAGCTTTCAGGGACGTGAAGGAAACTGTTGAAAAATAAAATCCATTGTTGCTTTTATCCAACATCTGTCTTCAGTTTGAAGCACAAACTGGAAAAATGATCTAGAAATAAGTAGAAAATGTCTTAAATCAAGTATTTACCCTAAATTTGAGTAGGTAAATGAGATAGTTTGCCAACGGAATGAGTATTTTTACGCTTAAAATAAGATAATTAGATAATATGAACTTTAAATAAGACAATGCAATAGTTTTTTCTTATTTTAAGTGTAAATTGTCCTTTTCCATTGGCAAAGTGTCTCTTTTACCTCCTTAATCCAAGAACAANAAATAAGACAATGCAATAGTTTTTTCTTATTTTAAGTGTAAATTGTCCTTTTCCATTGGCAAAGTGTCTCTTTTACCTCCTTAATCCAAGAACAAATGCACTTATTTTAAGAAAAAATGACTTATCTAGATTTCGATTTTTTTCCAGTGCAGCATTCATGCACTGCAAAAACCATCTAGAATTAAGTAAAATAATTCTTAAATTGAGTGAACCCTTAACCCTTAATTTGAGTAGATAAATAAGATGATTTGCCAAATGAATTAGTATAATTATTCCTAAAA